CCTCTTTGAGCCAGCTAAATGCTCCCATCCAAAGAGCGGACATCAGTCGTCCAAAGGTGGACCTGAAGGAGCAGAGAGAAACGAGCAAGAGGACACCGTTCAAAGGGGTTGGGAATGAGGTGCCTCCATAAAAGGGAAATCCACCCAAAGGGATACAGAAAGAACAAAGGACCCTAAAAATAATTGCAACTAAAAAGAACCACATTCCCCAAAAACAGGCTGTGATTTCCCCTTGGAGGAAAAAAAAGGACTTCGCCTAATTAAGCCTTATGGACACATCATTTAAAAAAATACACAGAACGAGATGATTGAACAGATTTTAATGTACTTTATGTAGGACAATAAATTTTTAAAAACATAATAACAGAATAGATATAATATATAAACACGAAATACTAGCTAAATAATTTTTTTAAAATACAGAATAATATTAAAAACTTAACTCATATTAAAACTATATCTCTTTGGGTGGCTGTTGAACACTATCTATTTTTTCCAAAAATAAAATGCAACTCCGGCAAGGCAGGCACCGGAAAGGAGGCAGGAGGTGAGGGAGAGGGAACGGAAGGGCCGGGAGGGAGGAACGCCGGAAGGGAAGGATTTCTTGACTTGTCCAGGAGGTTTTGGTGGTGGAGGGAGAGGACGGAGAGCAAGGATCCTTGGTTGATGGGATGGAAGGCAGGTGAGGGGATATCTTCGGGACAGGGTTCCTGTGGGGAAAAGAGAAAAGAGAAAGCTTCATCAATATGAGAATAAACTCCCCTTTCTCCCATCAGGGAACATCCATGTCAAAGAATCTTTTTGGGATAAGCCCAGCAGAGGAAGTCATCTTACTCCTGGTCAGCCTACATTTTCCAATGTCCATCCCATCATATCCACAAACATTCTTTATGCTAAAGCAATAGGTCTACGTTACGTTCATTGGACTATTGTGTAAACCAGGGCAGACCTTTAAAATGAGTGTTTGATCCTTTTAAGATCAAGGACTTTTGCCACTATCCTATCAAATGGGAGAGCAGTAAATATTCTTAGGATTCTGCTTAAGAAAATGTATTTAATTTCGAATTGGACTGATTGTGCACCCTGTAAGAAAGAAAAACAGCCCACTAGAGCTTATGATATCAATGAAAAGTTTCGTCACCTGGGAGATGATGATCCTCTCTGAATATGGGGAGAAGGTGGAACAAGGGGAAGGACAGAAGGGAAAGAGGAGGGGGAGGGTTGGACAAAGGGACAAGAGAGGTTTGTGGGTTGGATAGAAGGGGAAGAGCAGGATTTAGGTTCGGGAAAGGAAGAACATAGGGTTTACAGGGTTTATGGGGTTTACACGGTTTACAGGTGAGAGGGCAAAGGGGGCGGGTTCTTTCAACGTTCAAGTCCTGCAATCACAAGAAGAGAAACAAGACTTTTCAATGGGTATGCCGACAAGTCCTGTTTAGATTCTGTACAGTTGAACCCGCAATTCCAGTCTTATGAGGATGGGAATTCTATGTCAACTGCAACTCCATCCTTTCCTTAGAAATACCCAACTGGGAGATGTGGGAGATGGTGGTCCTCTTGAAATAGGCGGAGAAGCTGGAAGAAGGGGAAGGGCAGAAGGGAAAGAGGAGGGGGAGGGT